AAGGTACCAAGAAAACAGTAACATTAATGGATCTGATCTCCAGATTGAATTACATACAACCAAAGAATTATTCGCTGAAGGTGTAAAAGCCATCAATAGAAGCCGTTAGGTTCATAAACAAGTCACAACATGCCATACCACATCTGTGGGTTGATTAAGAATAATGCTTTCAACTCCTGTTACTGCGGCCAATTGCAAGAGAAGCTTTACTAAACTAAAGCTTATAAATACATACGGTCATCCATGTCTCAAGGCAGACTGAATTCTTTGGAAATTTTGCTTAGAGAATATGATATTGCAAAGAAAATAAATGTTGAAAAGTACATGAAAAGATTTGGTGATCTAAAGACAGAAAAAGGTGTTTTTATGTAAGCTGGTATTTCATACTATGTAAATACTGGTTGAGAAAAGCAGTGCTGTTTTATGTATGTTAAAAAACAGCCAAGGTAATAAACTCATTTCTGTATTTTTAGATATTTTTCTATGGGAAAAGCTTTTTAAGAAGACTTAAAAAGGACCATTCCCAGGCGTTCCAGCAACTATTATATGTTCGGCCCTGGTTCCTACATATTAAATACGAGTAAATGGGTCAAATAAACAGACTGGGATCTTTACTGAAAAAGAGACATTTTTTTCCCAGTGGCAGATTGTGAACAATTACAAATGTAACTCAGTCCATTAAACTATAAAAGGCCGGATGTGGTGGTCTTTTTATTATAGAGGCACCTAATAGGTGGGCCACCATCGCCTTTCCTATGAAGAGACGGACATTTACAACCATGCCTTTTCTGGGACTCGAAACCTGGCCCTTCGGCATCGCAGTCAGCTTCCCTGACCACCATACCAACCGGGAGGCCTGAAAAGAGACACAATTTCAGCTATTTTTACAGTTCAATGAGACTCAGAGTTTAAAGAACTGCCACATTATACAGAAAAAAAATAGTCCTACAAGCACAGTAAGTGATCATAAATATGATTGCGCAAAAAAGATTATTAAATAAAATGCGCTAAAAATAGAGTTGAGATGGGAAATTGAGTTTGAACATTGAGGGTCTACAAGCCGCGAACTGTCATTCTTCACCAGAACATAAATTAGCCACTGTTACAACAGAAGAGTGAAAGTACTCTAGAAACTAGTAACTTTAGCCATTAAGAGTACAGCAGAATAATGTTGACGCCTAACGTTAGAATCTAGTTTTGTGGCTGAGGTAAGTAAACAAAATCTGTTGTATGACATTTGTCTGTTTTATGGTGGTTATGCCTCCTGTTGATAATCTGATGTATTATAAAATATTTGAGTACCTGAAATATCGTTATTAGAAGTGGCTGTTGTTTGCTAATTTTAGTGTAACGTATAACAAATAAACTAAAATCGTTCAGTTTAACATTTTGTGTAGGTTCCTGTACTTTATTTAGACTGGTTAGCTGCTAAAATGAAAAATTGTCGGAGAAAGAGAATGTTAAATAGATTCAGTGAAATGAATAATTAGGTTTAACCTTTCAAACTTAGAAACGAAACATTAACAAAAACACTTCACTCAGATTTAATACCGAAAAAAATCGGCTTCCAATTTTTCAACCAACTATAAAAAGATGACTTGTCAAACGCAGATAAAACATTCCTCACATTAATCACTGTTAAACAACTGAGCAATTTTTTCCCATATGCCTTTAAATGTTTTTCTTTTTTAACTCGAAAAAACATCTTGGAGGTAACTGGGCTTTCCGGAGAGCCAATAACAGCTTCAAATCGAATCGAACTGAATGCGGCAGCAAGGAAAGAGTACCAGGGATTACGCAGAAGGTGATATAAATGGACGGCATATCGTGTGCGATGACAGAATAAATGGGCTGAATCCAAACTTCTTTAAATTGGTCATCTGTCTCGTTCCATGAAGAGGCTTGACCCTTACAGTTCGTTGATTTCGGAAGCTAAGCTCAAAGGATAAATCATGGAGACAGATCTGAGGAAGAAAAACATTGCACATACATCTTAACGTCTTCTCGATAAATTCCTGCCGCATTGTAGCGGGGGGAATAATTTATTTATCATACCTATTACTTTAATAAAAAGTTATATCTCCTCTTTTTACTGCGTCTTTAAAGAGTGTTCACGTATTCTCGAAACCTAATTTACTGAATGCGTGTTTATTTACAATATGAATTCCGAGAGGCGTTATTCTGTACGTATGAGGTTTTAGATTTTATTAATAGATTTGACTTTTAAGCTCTTTATCTAATCTCCTTTTAAAGTCACTCTCATATTGAAGAGTGTGCTACTTAAACATCTTATCAGATAAAGGTAGAAGGGATTAAGAGCACTCAAAATAATGCATGCTAACTGATTCTTTGCCATCCTTGCACACGGCTGGATACTATATTTGTTTTAGATAGGAGAATTAGTGATTTAAACATAAGCTATTCTTAAATATTAAATTTAATTTACCTTATTTTAGTAATTAAAACTGGAAATTAAATTTCCTTCAAAGCGTTTAATAGGATTTAGGGTTAGTATTCATAACTAAATTAAATTAAGCTATTTGTGATATTAATTCGAAAGATGTGTTTGTAAACATTTTTATCATTTTAGTTTGTAAATCCCAAAAAGTGGATGAATAAGTTTGGTAAACAGGTTATAAGCACCGTATGCATTTTAAGATATTTTCTTTCTCCTTCCAGTAGGATTTCGTAGTGACTTCGGCGCGTATTTTAAAGTTGGAATCCTGGCGAGGGCACTGCACATTTTTACGTCTCCTGCTTCAAAAAATCCAAATGACTCTATAGTGCACACCCGAACTAAAAGTCGTAGACAAATGTTCTTGAATAGACTTAATTAGAGTACCAAGTGAATTGTGGTCACAAATGTCAAATAAAATACACTCTTAGACAAAAAAAAAAAAAAAAAAAAAAGACACAAGAGCAGTTATCCGAATAGGACGAAAATTGGTAGTAGTGATGTATATGTACAGAAAAACAAATGATTACAGTTTGAGAAAAATTGGACGATTTATTGAATGATAGAGTTTCACAAAGTGAAAAATCAGTAACGCGTTTGTCCACCTCTGTCCCTTATGTAATTATTCGGCCTGGCATCGATTGATAGAGGTTGTGTATGTCCTTCGGAGGGATATCGTGCTAAATTCTGTCCACCTGGCGCGTTAGATCATCCCGAGCTGGTTGGAGAGTCCTGCTCATAATGCTCCAAACATGCTCAATAGGAAGATCCCGCAACCTTGCTGGCCAAGGTAATGTTCGGCAAACACTAAAGCAAGCATCAGAAACATGTGCAATGGGGGGCAGGCATTATCTTGCTGAAATGTAAGCCCAGGGTAGCGTGACATAAAGGGCAACACAACGGGCTTAAGAACTTCGTCGACATACCACTCTGCTGTAAGGTTGCCACAGATGACAACCAAAGGGGTCCTGCTATGAAATGAAATGGCACCCCAGACCATCACTCCTGAGTGTTGGCCTGTCTGCCGGAAAACAGTCAGGTTGGTATCACACCACTGTCCAGACTCGACTTCGCTGTTCATCGGGGCTCAGTTCAAAGCGGGACTCATCACTGAAGACTATTTTACTCCAGTCTGTGACATTCCAGTGCGAATGAGCCCGACACCACTGCAAGCGGGCTTAACGTTGTACAGAGATCAATGGTAGTCCGTGACCTCAACGCCCTTTCTGTGAGCCGTCTATGAATGGTCCTTGCGGTCACTGAAGCCTTAGTTGCACGTACAATCGATGATAATGATGCATCTGGGGCTGTGAGTAACGCTCTGACGATTGCTCGGTCTTCACGTTCTGTCGTTTCTCTAGGCCTACCGCTTCCTTCTTGAGGCTGTGTTCACCCATTCCTGCCAAAATCGTCTAATAGTAGCATCGCTCCTGCTCAAATGTTGATCTATTCGCCGATAAGACCAACCGGCTTCTTTGAAGCCAACTACACGTCCTCTCTCAAATTCTGACATCTGCGCATATCGTTTGCGCACCTGTATGCCAAGCATAGTTACTGTCTACCAGAGTACACGGAATGAAATTCGTGAAGAATTATGACCTGGAATCGTATTTTCTCTTCTTAATTATCCTGCCAGTTTCGTAGATGAGATGCGCTGTAGCGACAACCGTTAATTCATTGGCAAACAAAATGCAAAATTTTTCATTTTCATCGAAACTTGTATGTATATCAATTTGTGTACAGTTTGCTTTATATCTTCTCGGTGCGTCATGGTGCGTCATTTTTTTTCCTAAGAGTACAATTTGTCACCAATAATTTGCCGTCCCCGGAGGCCGCTTCAAGTCAAATCTGAGAGGCTACTGGTTAGGATCTATACCTAGGCAGTCTCGGGCCACAAGGATATAAAATCAATCTTCACAGGACTGGAATAGTCGCTGGCGATGGCAGTTTCGGACTCGTCAGGGACTATATAGTACTGTCTTGTCCGTGCCTTTGCTTGTGGTAGAGCTATATAGTCAGATATTGATGGTTGTCCCTGGGGAAACAACCCCGTCGGTGCTCTCGGTAATTTCTGTTAGACTATTTTCTTTAGACTGCTTGAGGTTTCCAGCGGGCGCCTGGAGCCTTAAGCCTGCATATTCATATCCTTGAGGGCGTATGGAACCAACGTGTATATACTATGAAGTAGCGTTAGCAGGATTGTTGGCCCGATCTGTCTGACAGTGTTTTAGTCACATCGTTCTGCTGTCTGGGGTTGAAGCTTCTGTTAATGGCAGATGTATTTACATTCCCTCTAGAACGGGAAGGACGTGGAATGTCAGTCACTGAGTATGCCTGTTGACTCAGTCTTGGCTCGTCGGCTCAACAGATAGGTTAGCAAAACCTTGGATTGGATTTAGGGCTTGGGCAGTGCCTCCTAGATTATAAAGCCAATGGACAGGTTGTAGAAACAAGTGTGACGTCAAAGTTAGTAGGCCCACGTGATGTTCTCGAGGTTTGGATTCTCAATTGGGAAGCCATTGTTTTGCGGTGTACATAGACTGGAATGTTAGCACGTGCTGTCGGGGAGAAGAAATACTTGGTAAGTTCGTATTTATTGAAATGTAACTTTATATTTTGTTCATTGAAATAAACGCTTGCTATTACTAATGTTGAATTAAATTAAGTATTAATTGCTTAATTATTAGTAACACACGTATACTTATTATGTTTATCTCCGTATTGATTAGCCATTATTATTATTATTAATCTTATTTCTGAATTTACTTAATATATTTTGTTTAAGTTTTAATTTTATGTGTGCAGTATCTAATGTTACGTATTTTCTTTTATAAAAGTTTTTTTTATTATTTCATTACTGTTTTACGAATTTTTAACCTAATCATTTATATAAAGCTTAACAGTTTTTAAAAATGTAATTGAAAGTAAACCTATACAATAAATCTAGTTAAATTAATAATTACGTATATCAGTTAACAAACGTATGTACGCTAATATGTGAGTGTGTAGAATAAATATAATAGCTAATATGTATAGCTAATATGTGAGTGCATTGTATAATGAGTGTAAGTATAAGTGAGAATGGCAAACTTTTAAAGTTATGTGATCAAAGCGTTCAGTATTTGAAGAACAGTCTAGTAAAAAAACGTTTTGTTTTATTGTGAGTTTAATTTATATATTAACTTATCACTATTGAAAGATGTATTTTATGTGGTTTCTAAATTTATACTGTGTATTTGCATACAATGTATTTAAATATTAAAGCAGTAAATTCATCTTAACATTCCATAAATAGTGTTTAGTTTACCAAACAAAGTCTTTCTTCAGATTTCACGTATATATTTTACTGTTCTAAAATATTTCTGGAACTTGAAACTATATTTCTTTCTACTAATTCGATATTAACCTTTAATTTATTTGTAAAAATTAAGTTAATTTTTTAAGGATACTGAATTAAGCATTTAACTCTCAATTGAAGTTTGATATTATTTTCATTTGACTGTTTCAGCATGTTTTTAAATATCAAAATTATCATCATTGATGCGAGTAATAATTTCAGTATAATAATAGATATCTTAATAGAAGCTTAGGTGTTCTTCAGATACGAATTTCTTGAAGTCTCATTCATTCAAATGTTTGAATGACATTTGAAATTCTCCACCGTTGGTTTATGGTGTATCGAATTTCAATGTATAATTATGCAAATTTAAATTGTTATAACATTTAGTATTTATATAACTGATTTTTGTACTGTTTTTACAGAAAATATGCCCATTTAAATGCTGTGTAACTGGTTGTCGGGGAAATTATAAAGGTACTGAAAAGGTGCATACATTTTCCTTTCCCAAAAATGATGCTCTTAGAGAGAGGTGGCTAAGAAATATACCTAGGAAGGACTTCTCAGCAACTCCATATTCTCGGGTAGGTGTAAGCTTTGCTTTCCTAATTAATTTATTAAGATTCAATAAATTGTTGGTAGAATATTCTTAGTCTGGCTATGGAAACTTTCTGCAAGCTATAATTTTTTACCTCCCGCCAACATGTATAAATAGGTTTCAGTGTATAGCTTTCTATTTGATGAATCAACAAATTACATTTAATTTACAAACAATCAAGGGCAAATGATACTTCGAAGCTCGTTGCTGTATAAGCCATAGAATAGGCAGGAGGTCGTATGCTGGTCATGATCAGATTTTTTATATGTAGTGTTAACTGATCCTTAAATATTTGAAAGAAAATTTTAATTTGCATATATGCATTTAAAATTTAACCTGCCCAAAGCATTGCCAAAGCTTGAATGTTTTTATTTATAAGGAAAGTGATCCAATCTTGCTTTACAGTTTGGTTGTTTTAAGAAGTTAGTTACATGATGTCTTCCTTTTACTTAATAGGTGTGCCATAAACATTTTCAACCTGATGACCTCATCTGGGAAACATCAGCTTTCGATGAAAAAAATGGGAAAATCATTAAAGCTTCACTGCAGAGACCAAAACTAAAAGAAGGCGCTTTTCCTAGCATATTTGATGGCTGTCCATCGTATTTATCTTCACAAGCTGGTAGTTCGAGAAAAAGTCCGAATGAGAAAAAAATGGAACGAGAAGCAAACCTCATGATGAAAGCTATTGCTCATAGTAAATTATCAGCTGCTGAGTAGTATTATAAATCGAGGACATTTTCAGACTTTAATGAACTTTTAACCTGTTGTATGCAATATAAATTTTCTACATTTTGGAACGTTGTGCACAAAGACAATATCTTGATGTTTTTGAATTTAAAATGCACTGATGGATGTGTAAAATTGCTTTATGCAGTCCACATTACTGCAGATCTTTTATTATCTGTATCGTTTCAAAATAAGTTATTGACTCATATCAGTAGTAAGTATAATGAGTTACCTATAAAAGTAAGTAATATTAATGAAATTCATGAAATACTTGATCATATTGAAATGTTAGAAACTAAAGACTTAATGAATTCGATTGAAATTATAATCAACCTGATGAAATCTTTAAGTTTCACAAATGAAGGTGATAAAATTTTATTTGAGTTCATGATTGAAACAACTTTCTCTTGTAAAATGTAAGCCCCAAAATCGTCAATATTCATCCAATACCTTAATTTTAGCTTCTATGTTTTATTTGTTATCGCCCCAAGCATATAAATTTGTCCGACAATCTGGTAATTTAATTTTGCCTCATCCAAGTACTATACATAAAATAAGTTCTAAATTAAATGTAAATCCCCAAAAGGAAACAGATGATATGTTGTTTTTGGCATATGCTAAGCAAAAAGCTTGCTATCTGAAAGAGCATGAATTATATGTTTCATTAATGATGGATGAAATTCACATCAGACCTTTTCTTGACTACAAAAGTGGAGATATTGTTGGAATTGGCCAGGAAGTTGATAACTTAGCTTCTAGTGCACATGTATTTATGATACAGAGTATTTTGTGCTGCTTTAAAGATGTTGTCCATATATTACCATCGAAGAAAATGACAGCTGAAGTTTTGTTCACTGTTTTGAAAAAAATAATTGTTGGTCTTGAAGCAATAGGTTTCAAAGTAATTGTTGTTGTTAGTGACAATAATTCCATTAATAGAAGATGTATATCTCTGTTTAATAATCCATTATCAAATTTTGTATTTCCTCATCCTGTTGATGCAACTCGTCCATTGTTTTATGCAGTTGATTCTGTTCATATTATTAAAAGTGTTCGTAACAACTGGTTAAACCAGAAAAACCCTGAACAAGCTATGTATTTTCCAAATTTTGACTTGTCTTCAAATAATGTATGTACCTCTTCATTTCTTACTTTAAAAAATATGTATGAAGCTGAAAGTGGTAATTTGTTAAAATATGGATATACAATATCTCGTAAAGCTCTGTGGCCTACAAATTTAGAACGTCAAAGTGTGAAACTGGCTTTACAAATTTTCAACGATCAAACATCACAAGGCCTGAAAGAATTAGGAGTAAAGCATAATTTGTTAAATTTTCACGAAACATCTGCATATATTAAAATATTTTCGTCGTGGTTTTCAATAATGAATGTTATTAAAACACCAAACAAGGGGGTACATTCTTGTGATGACTTCTGTAAACCATTAGTATGGAATGAATCAGACAAGAAGTTTGTATTTTTAAATAATTTTTCTTGATTGGTTGATGAAATGGAAAGAAATGAAGAGTGATACGGGTAGGTTGACAAAAGAGACACTTTCTGCTCTTATATTAACAACAACGTGTATGATAGAAATGTGTAGGTATTGTCTAGGTGAACTCAACATGTCGTATTTTTTGCCCGGTAAAATTCAGACAGATGAATTGGAACATCGTTTTAGTTTATATCGCAGGATGGCTGGAACAAATTATCATATATCACTTCGACAGGTTTTTGAAGTAGAGAAAACAAACTACGTGCATGTTCTGTATTAAATCTAACTATGATATCGAAAAGTAAAGGGACAATTGTTATCGATGACTTTTCTAACTCTTTTGATTTGATTAATGATAGTTCCCATGAATCTATTGTAAAATATTTTCATAATTTCAAGCATATTAATGTCACAGATAATGATCTTGAAACTATGGTTGATAAATTACCTTTAATTGCATACTTGGCTGGATATTGATTTTGCCACTCAGTTATGAATAGGCTAAAATGTGATGACTGTGGAGGTAATTTAGTTATTGAAAAACCACTAATAATTCCTCCCAATTTCAAACATATTCATAATTGTGATAGAGGTGGGTTAAAGTACCCATCTGCTGATGTCATTAATGTAATACTGCATAATTTTATTGTCATACAGAAGCTCATAAGCCCTGAATATGAAAATAGTTTCCTCCAAGTATGTAACCAACGTAATTTAATATCCACTATGACATTAGAAATTCTTATGTGTAAGGAAATTAAAATTATTTCCTGTAAAAACCATTTGTCACGTAAAATTATGCAACTGCTTATATACTCATGCACAAATACTCTTTTAAACAATTATTGTAAATTCAAAAATGATAGCTTTTCTAAATATTCAGATAAAAGAAAACTAAAAACACTTGCTATGTAAGCATAACAAACAAAGAATATATTAGAAATGTACCAATATAATTTTTTGGCCTGAAAATAATTTTAGTGCATTTCACTTTTTTAATTTTAATTGCTCTCTAAACATGCATTAGTAAATATATGTGTAATTTTATTATTTTTGTAATTTAATTTCTTGTTTCTGTATTAAAATATTAAAAATTATGGAATTGTATTTAAATATGTTATATAAATAAATAATTTTAAAGACTTCATTTGTTGTACTGTATTATTTTATATAGGTAACAGCAATAGTTGTCCATTACATACCAGCAATTAATTTAGATTTATATTAATGTTTTTCACATCAAAATATTTTTCATTTAAAATATAAACTGTATGCTTGGATGTTACTTTTAAGTAATCTTTGTATATTATTATATATATGTGATATATTAGAAGTTTGTACGATGAGAAAACTTAGTAGGTACTATGTGTATATATTTACATGCATGATATTTTAATCACAGGGTTAGAAATATGGATGCGCATAAACCCAGAAATTCGGAAATATAATTGAATAATTTGGAAAGATCTTGAATTTGGGAGAACAGATGAACTTGGGGAGGGGGGGGGGGGGAGAAAATAAAATTTAGGATAGTCAATTTTAAGGTCGCCAATTATTTCTTAACATAGCCATCATATTTTATTATATCTTACATATGTAATTATGTGTTTGTAGATGCATCTGAAGAAGCTGTTGGAAGCACCAGGATGGGAACCTACATCCAAATTGGTTTTCATTCTAGAAAATTAAGGTCTTATGAGCAAAATTATGCAATTACTGAATTAGAATGTTTGTATATGGTGATGCAGATAAATTTTTTAATTACTTACTTCAGTAATTATTTTACTGTACACACTGATCACGCTGCTTTAGTTTGGCTTAAGAACATTAAAGATCTTACAGGTAGGTTATTTAGATGGTCTTTAAAATTATCTATGCATGATTTTGATATAAAATATGAAAATAGTTCTACTAATATTGAAGCTGATATGTTAACTAGAAATCCTATTTGTCAACATTTAAGTTTGGAAGTTAATTTATTCTCATTAGAAGAAATTAAAGAGCATCAAAATTTAGATAATGTATATAATCCTAAGTATAAAGAAATTAATGATGTGTTAACTATTAAAAAGCAAGGATTATACAAAATCATAATAGCAATCTCTCTTTGTACTAAATTACTTTAAAAGGCTCATATTAATCTTGTCAATATTATTGGTCAGGAATTGTCTGTCCAAGATGCTAAAATTTTTTGTAACATTGCGAAGTATGTCAGTTTAATAAGAAAAGTAAACAAAAGAGATTTGGTTTAATGTGAACCTTTTGAATTATTATCTATTGATACTGTTGGTGGTGGTTTTTAACTATTATAATTATATTAAAATGTATATTCACTTAATTATTGATCATGCTACTCATTAAATATGGATTTTTTGCTTCTAAAAGTGTAACTACAGATAGTTACATAAATAGTTTAAGACAAATTTTTCAAATTCAAGTACCAAAGAAAATTTTAAGTGATAGAAATGCTGCTTCTTCCAAATTTAAGCACTTTTTAAGAAATCATAATGTAAAACAATTATTAACTACTAACGGGCCTCAAACTAATGGTAAAGTTGAACGAGTTACTCAAACAAATATAATTAAACTGTAAATTAAATTCTTATCAGGCTAATATTGCATGGACAAAATTGTTACCTCAAGTTACTGAATAATGTAATAATACACCTCATTGTGTTGCAAAATTCCCGCAATCTTATTTAATGTATGGAAAATTGCCTTATGATCCTCTACTTGAAAATCAAGAAGTCTGTCCACCAATCCTTTCTTAACATAGCCAGAGTATTTAATTATATCATATATATATATATATATGTTATAATTTCCACACATTTGAGAGTATATTTAAGACTAATAAATGTAAATTTTCCTTGATGAAATTTTAAATTCTGATTTTCAAGGAATATGATTTTATGAAAACATGATATTATGTCTATAGATGAGATAAAAACACATATCAGAAATTTTTAAGATATTGAGGAGTTTTGGTTTTCAGAACTAATTTTTAATTGAATGATTTGAAAATTCAGCATCTCTACTAATCGTTTTTATAAAGCCAAATTCGATATTCAAGATCAAGTTTTGCTGGACTAAGTATCAAATCTTATTACATTACATATGAAATTTTAATGCATCTTTAATGAGTTTTATTGCTCTTGCATTGTAATGTTCAAATATATTCCGATAGTAAAATAAATTTTTTATTGCGGAAATATAGTTTCTGGATTATTCTGAGAGTTCATTATTTAACGCAAATTCATACTCGTATGCACGGAGAAATCGCTATCGGAAGTTCCGCCGTTTCATATTATACGGCCTAGTGCTCGTGACGTCACAGACCAGTCCGACGGCTTTATATCTAGGATGCACTGGCTTGGGTCGCTTAACTGCGTTAAGGCAGCCTTGAGCTAGCCAGTTCTAGGGGCCCCTTCCTCCTAGCGCACTGTCACCACCAAGATGTATCGATTGGGTCTCCTAATCCCCAGTTTCCCTTTAAAAGGAGGCGTATATAAGGTATTTTCTTCCTCCTTCCTGGATGCCTTCATGGTGCAACGGTAGCACACTCGGTGCATATTTGAGAGGTCCAAATTCGACTTCCGGTGCTGCTTAAAAAAAACCTAATGACTCTACAGCGTTTAGGCATTTTTTCGGTCAAAACAATACGAATTATTTAAGCGAGTAAAGCGTATTGAGTTAAAATTAAAGTTGCCCACTGTAGAGCTAAATATTTGTTTCTATGAGACATCTTAGGAGCAAAAACGATTTAGCTCTATGGTTGTAACCACAGCTTTCCCATTTGTTTTAAATCATCTGTGTGATTAACAATTTATAAAATCATCGTATCTGCTGTGATCTCCTGATTTGAATGTATCACTCAAAATTGTTGAGCTTTAATGTCGATTTTTTAGCAAAATAGTTTATGAATAAGTTAAAGCTAAAATAATCATCTCACTTTGAGAAAGAAATGTAGTGTTGATATGAGCTTCTGAATATGGGTGTTATGGAGTCTCTATAAGGACTTAGAGTAAAAAAATACATTTTTCTAAAGGTTAGATAAAATACTTTTAAAATTCGTTGATTAATATTTGAAAAATTTTTTGGTACCATTTGACGCTTTATTTAATTTAGTTTCGTGAAGCATATATGATTAACGTATGAAAATACATTTTATAGGGAAGGGGAAGAGAGGGCATAATTTGAAAAATGTGTACTGCTGTTCAATTCAGATATGTTGCGCTGAGTAACTTATCTCTCTTGTCTGACGGTAACACCAAAACAAGTCCACGAAATTCATCTTAGAAAGGGGTGAAACACTGCGCCTGTCGTTGTCAAGAGCTTTGAACATCATGCAGGTAACAGTACGACTTCGTTGAGTTCCGCCCCCAATTCTGATGGAGAGCCCCCAGGGGTACGGGTCTGAGTGTCTGGCACCCCTCTTCCGTATCCAGCAACCAGAGGACTTTCAGATCACCACATATATAAGTTCTATATAAAGTTCTCCAATGTCGCACAGACACTTTACATTTTACAAACATCTATGCCTTCTTCGGGATTGGAACCTGGGGCTTCCGGCACGGCAGTCAGATTCAATTCTGCACTATCCCGTGGGCAGTTCTCATTTCAAATATGCATCTCCACACTGATTGTGACTAATTATTTCTTCTGAATTGCCTTGAATATTTATTCATTTCTCAGAACGTTTATCGCAATAGATATAAGCAAAATGGGCTAATCTTTGGAATATGGTAACAGGTAGTTTGGCGACATTTTGGTAAGGCGATAAAGGTTACTAGCTAGGACTTTAGCAGTGTACATGGATAAAGTCAAGAGTGGGCGCAATGCCATTTTTGTGCAATTCTGAGATGTTTTTTTAAGTGAAAATAGGTCGACGTGTACATGGATACCGTGTATGTGCAATTCTTAAAAACGCGGCAAGGAGTGGGCGATTCTGCACTTTCTCCCAATTTCGCACCTAATCTTCGTCATGATTAAACACTTTTGTTCCGTAAAAGTTCTAGCATAAGCGTAATTCGGCTAGCAGATTGTTGAAAAAAAAAGTTTAAGTTAAAAAAAAAAAAAAGAAAAGAAAAAAAAAAAAAAAAACATGCCGTTACTTCGTGAAAACAAAATGCCGTCCAAACAAAAACTAGCAGGTTGCTGTAGCAGGGTTGGTCGCCAAAGTTTCGCCAAAAAAATGCCAAGTTACCATATTCCAAAGATTAACCGCAAAATGAATTATCGTTATTTAGAAGTTTGTATCATGTTTTAGATTTTGTAAAATTAACTGCGACGAAATCTTTAATGAAAATGGGGTTATATCTCTAATGGTGATTGCAACAGCATCTCTTGACACACAATATTGAAATCTCTTGATGCACGTAACAGCATTTCATTGACATACTATATAGATTTCTACTAAGCTAATCTGCCACAGCAGATTAAAAATGTATTTATAAACATACTATTCTGTCTGCCATCAGTAGCCGAATAGCAAGACCGCAAACACTTGTAGTTCACCGTTTTTTTTTTTCAAATTCTAGCAAACAAGCTGCTTGCCTAAGAAATTTAGTGGTTTTCCGCATATGCAACCTAAATATGAGCCCGTCTTCCATAGAAAATCTTCCACTAAGGCATCTTTTCTCTTGGGCAGATAGGCTAAGTACGATTAGTAATTTGTAGAATAGTATGATTAGTACCAGTGATAGTATGATTTGCTTTAATTTAAACAACACAGTGCCTAATATTCTGCATTTATGTTGGGTGAATCTTCGGATTATGGTGACTTGGAGATTTTTTGGTGAAACTTTGGCGACCAACCCTGCTACAGCAACCTGCTAGTTTTTTTTTTTTTTTTTTTTTTTTTTTTTTAACAAAAGTACTTAATCATGACGAAGATTAGGTGCGAAATTGGTAGAAAGTGTATAATCGTCCACTGCCTGCTGCGTTTTTAAGAATTGCATATACACGGTATCCAAGTACACGTCGACCTATTTTCACTTAAAAAACATCCTAGAATTGCACAAAAATAGCATTGCACACACTCTTGACTTTATCCATGTACACATCGACCTATTTTCACTTAAGTGAAAGAAAATTGACAAAAATCCAATTCTTCTTACTTTTGTAAAAAGCGCCAAACAAATAAGTGGGCGATTCTGCACTTTAGCAGCGAAATTGTGTCGAAGTGCTTATTAGCTAAAATCCCGATTGGAATTTTCCGGAAAATGTCACATGACATGTCTCATGATCTTTCATTTCTCTGAGACAAAATAATCGAACTGTGTACTTCTCAGATTATTGCTAAAGTCCTAGCTAATAACCTTTATCGCCTTACCAAAATGTCGCCAAACTACCTGTTACCATATTCCAAAGATTAGCCTTGTGTTGTTTTTTAATTGGATTCAGGATTTTATCTTTATGATTCAGGTATAGAGCAGAAGGTGGCTGTATACTGATTTAGCATCAGAAACAAAATATTGTTTAAAATATTTGTATAATGGAATCAAAATCATCTTCTTGACTCAGTTGTAAGTAAGTAACAACGTTATGCATGTTGAAACTACCCTAAGTTATTTGGTCCTAATTGATAAATTTTCCACTTCCTGTGCCTTGCTCTTTAAGCAAAACTGTTGCTTCTTTTACCTTGTTATCTCACAAATGTAATACGATTATTTTATTAGATTCACATG